CCTCGAACATTACCACTTCCCATCTAAACCCCCAACATCAACATTTTCTACTCAATCTAAAACAACGCAACTTTTCTTTCAACCATAAATCACATGCATATACAACACAACCATAAACCACCTCGACACTAAAACACTATCCAAAATCAGGGCCATTTAGAACACTATCCAAAACCACCTCGATTTAAGAACACTACCCAAAATCAGGGCAGTTTGAACCATTACCCAAAACCAGGTGGATTTGAACCATTACCCAAAACGGGGTTTTTTTGGACCATATTCAGGGAAACTAACTATACATTTTTAAAATAAATTGTGTGAGAGGGAAAGAAAGATAGAGAGATAGAGAGAGAGACATAGAGGGTGAGAGAGAGATAGATAGATAGATAGATAGATAGATAGATAGAGAGAGAGAGAGAGAGAGAGAGAGAGAGAGAGAGAGAGGGAGAGAGAAGGGGGGGGGGGGTAAATGAAATGGCGAAAGGTGTAGATATTGAGTGAACGATAGAGATGTGGAGTTACTTTCACGGAAGTAATTTTTGTCAACGCCAGGAAGAGAAGATTATACACTGCTAAAGTGCCTCGAACGAAGGTGTTTTTATGCACACTTTGCCAGTACACATTTTTAAATACAGTGGAAACCGTATACAATAGACCCGGTAATAACAGGGATCTGGTAATAACAGGGATTAAAAAAAACCCCCTGTTTCTTCTTACTCTTTGTCTCTATTAAAAGTTATCGGTAAACAAAATGGCCTCATCGGAGCCCAATCGGTTATAGCAGGGACAAAGGCTAGTTGACAATGTCTAAAATGTATTAAAATGTAAGAGACAGAGAGAGAGAGAGAGAGAGAGAGAGAGAGAGAGAGAGAGAGAGAGAGAGAGAGAGAGAGAGAGAGAGAGAGAGAGAGAGAGAGAGAGAGAGAGAGAGAGAGAGTAACGCAGTGATGGAGCAAGCCCACACAAGCTTGTTGTTGTTGTTGTTGTTGTTGTTGTTGTTGTCATGCTTATTATAATAATCCTTACCACCCTTTCTCTCCACAGGCCAACAGTAAAGGCTTTGTGCCGTTGTATACGGACGAATTAACGTCATGGGCAGCATAAAACCAGGCCTATGTCACGTGGTTTTCGACAGACCTCTCCTTTGATGCCTGTTGAATTGAAAACACAACATCTGCATGTCTTGGAGAAATCACCTTTTTGTGGAGGATGTTTTTTTGTGTGTGTTCTTTTTAAAAATGAGATTTGATTGAACTTTAAGTGAAAACATACACATCTGCCTATCTTTGTTGAGATGGAGCCGATATCTGTTTTCAATGAATACAGACATTATTGAAATTAACAAAGAAGCAGATGTTGTCTTTTCCCCCCAGTTTGTGAAACTATCTGGTTTTGTCAGATGCTAAGTTTGCAATCTTCTACAACAAACGGCGGTGTGTTGGAGAGTTTCTCAGTCCAGTACGTCAGCATTCGATTACGTCCCCTGCTGCGGGTGGTGGGTGGGTGCCCTGATGTGGTTTGCTCCTTGTTTCCTATCAAATATCCAACATTCTGATCTCTCCTCCTTTATTTTTGCGTTTGTTACTCTCTTGTAACACCCCTAATCTTCGGCACTAATATGACCTTATTGTTTTGCATTGCCGTAGAACTCCCGTAAAACTAACCGCCCCCTGCTGTTCTTTTAAAAAAATTTGTTTTCTACTTCACGTATCCAATCTCGTGAATGAATAAAGTTCTTCTGAGTGATTTGTTTGTTTCCATTTTGTAGTGTAAGAGAGTGTTGTTTTGTTCTAATATAGTGTAAAGCGCATAGAGCCTGCTGTTGAGCGGGGATATGCGCTATACAAATGGTATTTATTATTATTATTATTATTATTATTATTATTATTATTATTATTATTATTATTATTATTATTATTATCATCATTATTATCATTATTATTATTATTATTATTACGATTATATTATTATTATTATTATTTTTATTATTATTATTATTACTCTAACAAAATTATACCCAGCACTACACGTATTATTATCTTCTCGTGGTTTGGTTTTCTCTTTATTGTGAACAGTTCACTTTTCCTTTCTTGCCTCGTGGGTGGATGGCGGGTGCTCTGGTTTGGTTTGCTCCTTCCTTCTTACCTAACATCTATCGTTCATCTTTTGTGCGTTTTTTTTTTTTTTTTTTGGGGGGGGGGTAACTCTCTCGTAACATATTTAATCTTTGGCACTAATATGACCTTATTGTATTGCAAATGCCGAAAAACTCTTACTAGACTATCTGGACGTTGTGTCTTTGGAAAAGATACTTAAATTTACACTAATTTTCCCATTTGCCTCCGTTCTGTCCTCCGTTCTGTCGGAGATAGACGCTGCTTTTGGAGGCCTCGCCTCTTAAACAACCTAGTTGTGTTGCTAGGGATGTTAAACCTATACCATTTCACGACTTTTTTCCCGTTATGGTTTCTCTTATTGAGGTTGTTTCTTGTTTACATGTAGATGTTTGAAACCTTGGGTGATTGGTGGATGGGTTCTCTGATGTAGTTTGCTCTTTCGAATCAATTTTTATTTCACTATTTAAAAAGGGTGACCTTATTTAGGCCACATATGGCCTAAATAAGCTAAACCCCCC